AGCAGGTGACACTGATCAGGCAATGAAGACAAGATGAGGATAACAAGGGGGCGGGGAAAGAGACCGAGACAACACAAGCACACAACCCAAAATCAAGGCCATGTGCCTGCACACAAAACATGGGTCTGTCATGATCCTGCCTCAAGACTAGAGAAATGAAATGACAAGAGGGCAGAATCATGACAGAACCCCCACCTTAAGGAGCGGCTACCAGACGCTCCAAAAGAGGACATCAAACACGAGACATGACAGACTGGGAAACAGACACAAACCAACAAAACATGACAAATAAAAGCAACGGCATACAAGAATATACAATTATGGGGTTGGGATGCATCAATAAAAATAACAAACAAGGGAGGGGGGGGCGGGGGAACAAGAAAGTTCATAGGTGGTTGACCAGGGAGGGTGGGAGGACTGGGGGTCTTGGGTTTACGGGTCGAGGGTTGAGGACGAGGAATCCGGGCTGACTTGGACGGGGAGACACGTGGAGAAGCCTTGGGGGAATCAGACTGGGACAGGGTGACATGTGGAGAAGTGCTAGGAGAACTAGACTGGGAAGGAGACGGTACATGACAAAAGACAGGGCGAGATGTAGGCGACTGTGGGGCGGAGATGGGCAACACTGTGGCTGGCTGAAGAGCAGGAAAGGGGTCAGTGTACTCAGTAGCAGAACCAGAAACAGCGCTCATCATATCGGATTCAAAAAAGGTGCTACTCATGTCAGACTCTGAACCTGCGATGTCTGCAGCTGACACTGGAACCGAGTTGACGGGAACAGATCCTAGAACAGTGTTGTCTGAAACCGGCTCGGGAACAGCGCTGGCAGAGACTGGCTCGGGAACCGCGCTGGCAGAAGCATTGCCCTCAGCAGCTGGTCCAGAAACCGTCGCAGGCTCAGGGGAAGGAAGAGACGGGGAACGGGAAGCCCCCTTCCTCCTCCTCTTTCTCCTAGGGCGGGAAGCAGAGACCATAGCCGGATCTATGACCGGTTGGGGAAGCGCAGCAGGAACTGTGTCGGGCGGAAGAGGAGCTTTCTCTGGGTGGGTTGACTCCGTCGCTGAGGACTCTGAAGGGGACTCCCACGAGGTCCGCCTCCCTCGTTTTCCACGAAGACCGAAGGAAGCAGATGGAATCTCAGGAGTCGTGGAGGAACGAACCTTGTACCCCATTCGTCGCGACGCCTAACAAACGACCCTCAGGAATAACAGGCAGACAGGCAGAAGGTGAAGACCTCGTGGAGGAGCCCTGCAGCTCCTCCTGACACAAACGGTCCACCACTTCCCAAAACGGACGGCGAATCAGCCCCTCCCGTTCAGTCAAAGGAGGAGGACCATTGAGACCTGCGATGAAGTATGAGTTGAGGAGGATCTCAGGCAAGAACCTCCTCCTCTCTTCCACGGCCTGGGCATACTCTCTCAACGACCTCTCTCCCTGGGGGGAAAACGGTGCCTTGCCACTCTTCATGTCGGAGGTAGTCGACAGCCACCATTGTTCAAGGGGATCAGATTGTCGCTTGGCAGAAAAAGACAAACTGTCTGCTGGGTTCTTCTTTGGCTGGTTCATTCTGTCACGGATTTTCAGGAACGAACCCAATTGCAGACAGTTTGCTGACACACAAGGTTTATTGATAACAAAAAGGGAAAACAAAACCCCACGAGGGGGGAAAAACAGCACAGGCAAAGCAAAAGACTAACAACAATAGACTAAGACTTAAACATAAAACTTCACAGGAACAAAATAACTATAACAAGAAAACTTCTTTGTTTAGACAGAACTCAAGACAAGGTACTCACAAGTATTACCGTGTGTGGATACTGGATACACACACAATCAATCACAATGAACCAGCACAAGACGGCAAACACAAGGGGATAATATAGGGAGAACAGATAACGACAGCAGGTGACACTGATCAGGCAATGAAGACAAGATGAGGATAACAAGGGGGCGGGGAAAGAGACCGAGACAACACAAGCACACAACCCAAAATCAAGGCCATGTGCCTGCACACAAAACATGGGTCTGTCATGATCCTGCCTCAAGACTAGAGAAATGAAATGACAAGAGGGCAGAATCATGACATGTTTCTCCGCCGCTCTGCATACGTCATCTCCTTCATCGCTCTGATTGGGTTTAGGTCTATCCGCGACGTCCGTTGGTGACGCCCCTCTGGAAATGATTTGTCCAGCAGCCTTGTCACCCTGTAGCCCAAGACTGGTTGCCCATTGAAGCTAAGCAGGGCTGAGCCTGGTTAGTACCTGGATGGGAGACCTCCTGAGAAAACTAGGTTGCTGCTGGAAGAGGTGTTAGTGACGCCAGCAGGGGGCGCTCACCCTGTTGTCTGTGTGGGTCCTAACGCCCCATAGTGACGGGGACACTATACTGTCAAAGAGCACCGTCCTTCGGATGAGACGTTAACCCGAGGCCCTGACTCTCTGTGGTCATTAAAAATCCCATGGCACTTCTCGTAAAGAGTAGGGGTGTAACCCCGGTGTCCTGGCCACATTCCACCCATTGGCCTCTGCCAATCATGGCCTCCTAATAATCCCCATCCACTGAATTGGCTCTATCACTCTCTCTCCTCTCCACCTGTAGCTGGTGTGTGGTGAGGGCACTGGCGCCGTTGTACTGTGGCTGCCGTCGCATCATCCAAGTGGATGCTGCACACTGGTGCTGGTTGAGGAGAGAACCCCTGATATGATTGTAAAGCGCTTTGGGTGTACAGTAGTACATATGAAAGCGCTATATAAATGCCTCATTCATTCATTCATGACGCTTTGCCACACCATAACTCAGTTACAACTGAGAATGGTTTTAACCAGGCTAGGGAGGCACGGTTTTAAATGCTCGTGGCTACAGTGCCACCGTAAGATAAAAAGCTTAATGACTTTTAAAAATATTGTGGAAAGCAAAACACTGGATAATTTTATTCGCATCTGCATCCATTGTATTTCGTGCTGTTTTACTTCCTTTTCCGGGTCAGGACGTCTACATTTGGTAGTTTCAGCAGTGTATAGTGTAAATGCAAATATCGGATACGGGTTGCTTTTAAAAGATGATGGTAAGCGTGTCGTCAAAAAAATCGGATATAGTCAAAAAATAGGATTTGGGCATCAAGACCGCGGTCAAGTGTGTGTATTTAGACAGGCCCAATGACACGCTTTCTCTGTTACATATACAAGAAATCAAATATCAACACCAACATAAAACCTTGACATGTGCATCGATATAAAATGCTTCTTCATGGTTATGCACCATGCATGCAACTTATAAATGTGGTTGTTTGTTTAAAATAATTCACACATTTCCTGATTCAGTTTGTATATGAAGACTCAAGACTCTCCTTTCTTAATATAATAAAATCACAAACAGTTTGTTAGCAATGCAAAGTTTCAGCATTTCATGAAGCATGCTGTAATCTCACTAACTCTCTCTAAACGTCCGTCTCCCCCTCGTGCGAGCCATGAAACATGCTTTAATTCACATTATAGAGATTTTCAATTTACTGTTACAGTTATCACACACCTAACAATATAACATCAACCTTTTTTGAGGAAAAAATTCAAAGCTAAAGCTAAATAGCCAAATACTTCGATAAATAATATCTCCATAAATGAGCAAATAGGCTTATTGCTTTTATCTACAAACATGAATACATTTTTACCAATTAAGCATGACCGTTTATGCATGTTTAGTTTGACATCAAACGCACAAAAGTGGGTGAAGAAAAACATTTTTTTTTTTTTACCCAACACAATCTTTTTCAGACTTTTTTACTGTCGAGGAAAGTTGTCAAAAAATCTCAATGTTTGTTTAGTTGACTGAGCAATCAGGGTAGAAAGAATAGCATTATATTCAAATTCACTGGAGTGAAACATGTGACAGCTTCGGTCTCACCAATAGACAATCATGATATATGGATCAGTAAAAAGTTGATTTTCCAGCAAATGGAGCCATAGAGGAATAACAGGTTTACTTTCACTATTGACACTGCATATGTAGATTAAACCCGTCATACATCATTGCATGTGAAAGGACAAACAAACATTCCCCTTCTTGAAGAGTGACATTCCTCTGTGAATGCTTTCAGATATCTTAATGTGATTTGACTCAAGTCAAAATTTACACAAATATGTCAAAGCTGACGGTTATGCAACAAACTAATAACTGGAATGACAGCATTTCCATCCTCAATGACTAGATTTGCTGATGAACTTCCCTGTAGGGATATATTAATGGCACCCTTGTGAAAAAGAAATATGCTAAGTATACTTGCAGTCAGACTAATTTTCAGTACTTCAAGTGTGTTAATGATTAGTTAACTTGAAGTGTGGTATTTTGAAACAACTAATTTTGTACTAAGTTATTTAGTTGTAATTCAATTGTAGTAAAGGATAACTTTAAGTGTATTTAGTGAATTTTTGTGTACTAAATTGAAACAACTTCAAGTATATTTAGTATACTTTAAGTTTAGGTATATGCCTATGTATGGACTAATATTACATGCTTGATTAGTGATATTAAAGTGTACTTTATTTGTGTTACATCTATTAAAAAAAAAAAAAAATTGGGGGCGTTTTGACTTTTTATTAGGATAGGACAGTAGCTAGACAGGAAGTGAGGTGGAGAGAGAGAGAGAGAGAATGGATCGGACCAGGAAAGTTTCACGAGCCGGGACTCGAACTCGGGACTCCCGAAGCACACGTCAGCGCACTTGCCCACGAGGCTAAGGCGGCCTTCAATAACAAATGTACATTATTAGATTAATAAAACTTAGCTATACTTTGTACAAAATACTATTGTATAGTATAATGTATTTTGAAAGTATACTTTCAACATTGTTACAATGATCATTTCCAGCACACAGTTAAAATATATTTATTTATTTATATTTTTAAGAAAGTGCAAATAAATACACTTTTAAAAAATAAACAGAATTTTCACTCCAAGTATATATTTTTTAAATATATTTTTAGAAAATATAGTAAAGTACAATTATTTTAAAGGGTGTTAACAGTTGTATTGTGAAAATAGGTAAAAGCATGATGCTAATATACTTTTAATATATTTAAAGATAGTACAATTTGTGTTAGTATATTTGCAATGTACTATTGAAAAAGGGAATATATTTCAAATACAATAAAGTATACTTTTTTTTCACTAAGGCAAGGATATTTGATTTAAGATATTAATGAACCAGCTGAACATCTTTTCCTTGTATGAGTTACATTTTATGAGATCATGGTCGTGTCTTTTGGATTCTTCTGAACTTCAGCTTCACGCTGCTCGGCAGACCGGACTTGACCAGCTCCTGTTGTAGCTGAAATAAAGATTGACTGATAAATCAAAATGTATTGAATCGTCTATTAGCACCATAATTAATAATAATAATACAAAAAATATATATATTCCATTAGTAAGTGCAACTTACTTTCTCTAAAACAGTCTCAATGTTTCTATTCTCTGTCAGGTCTGAAAAAGAAGTAACTCTCATTTGAACTCCTATGATATTTTCTAAGGGGGAAAAAAGCACATGATTAATAATTATGGTAGTATGTTAAAAAAGTGTTTTGAATATGCATGCATACTGTATAGTGAACATAATGAAGAGGTCAAATAGGAATATAATATAATCGGAATATAATATTTGACTTGAATAATGAAGAATTTCACAACACTGCCTTGAAAACAATTCGTTTGTTTCTAGAAATATTCAAATTTCAGCATTTTGCAGATGCTTTTATACAATTTTAGGTTGATTAAAGGTTTTGAATGTGATTGAATCAAACTCATGACTTTGACATTGCTAGTGCCGAAACATCATATGATGCCCGATAAAAACAAACTAATAATACTAAAGATTCTAAAAATGATGGCAATTATGTACCTTGTCCACTGTCCACCCTGAAGGCCCATCGACCAGGAACATTTACATTACTGGTGTTCTTAAGGTTTGGAATAACATTCCCATTGATTGATCCAGGAATCACAACGTAGTCAGTGGAGTTTATTGTGTCATAACCAGCCTGCACAAACAAGGGAATGACCAATTATTGAGACAGAACATCAAGAAGAGATAGGCGTATTGTGTTCTATTGATGTATAAAGCATGTTTTACCTGCACCGCAAATTGTGTCGCAGCGCAGTCACCATAATTCATGAGAATGAAAGACAAATCACCGCCAGAAATTAACACCACTTGAAACGATATTTCCTGCAAAGTTTGGGAACACTGAATGTAACAGCAGCTCTGAGAATACTGTAACCTTGAGCCTGAAGGAGTTTTAACAAACTAACTTACTGTGCCAGAGTAATAAAAGTCTTCAACTCTATCCCAAGTAGCAACAAGGACCCAAGTAGCCGTAAAGCTCAGATACGGGAAATACTGGTTAATATCCTGAGTGGCTTGAGTGAGCACACTTCCATTAGAGTACTGCTGATATGAGATCATGCCATTCCTACTGACGTCAACATCTCTCCAGAGCGGAGCAATGACGTCTTCAGTTCCATTGGGAAAGTACTTAACGTAAAACTCAGACGAAGGCTGGTTGAATGTAAGGTGCCCGTTATTATTAACCTGGGTAATAAAAAGATATTAGTCATGCATGTCACATTTTTCTCATTCACCGTTTGCATTAGCAAAACAGAACTGAACTCTCACATATGTCTTGTTGTATGTGCGGCCAAAGAACACAAAAGGTCTCCACAGGTCGATACGAGTGGAGTTTTCATCTTCAACAGCAATATTAACAGTGTCTCCTGCCACTGAGCCGAACGGATAGAATACAACCGGCGCTGCAAGACAAATATAAACAAGTTCAAACTCCGATGAATAATCTCAGATCACATCTTTTATATGTTTTAGTTCTAAGGTCAATAATTACCCGTCTGTGCTTTTGTCTCCCCGCCTGTTGAAAAAAAAATGCACATAAAATTTAAAAACACTTCCAAATAGAATGTGATATTGTCTTTAGCTATTTCTTTGTCATTCCATGAAGCATATTATATTCATGGTAAAACTCACTCAGCGCAAGGACTGATATGAACATCAGCATATATTGTGAAACTGGAGACAACCGCATGATAAATATTTGGATGAGGTCAGAGATACCAGAATGTCACTGCTACAATTTCACAGAGTAACTAGAAAATCACAACAGAGCAAAGCAATATTAATACTTTTATAATTTTTGATTTTATAACAATTTTCTGTTATTCTTTAACTACAGATATGCATAGACACAGCATCAGATAATAAGTTGTTAAAACAAACAACACTATAGACAAAAAGTTAGATGTTTACCTCAGTCGACTTCATGGAATATGCAAGAAGCACCTTCTGAAAGGTTAAAATCAGGCTCTTATTATCATAGCGCTGAAGGGAGTGACATGTTCAGCCAGTGTCTGTCAATGATTTCAGAATAACAAAGACTGGAATTCTCACTAAACAACTTCACATGATAACTAGGCAAAGACTTATTTTCTTCAAAAGTCCACCCCTTGAAATTATGTCTACGTGGCTATTTCCTTGTGCCAGATTAGATAAAGAATTCAAAAATGTCATGGTGTAATTTGCAAAGAAAAACGGGATATAATGCATTCTTGCATAATGTAATACGTGATGTATGAAACAGTCCCACGACACGCTTTACATGAAAATCATGAGATAGTGTACCAGTTCGTACTCTCCACCAGTCAACAAACACAATTTCAAATTAATAACTTTTTCTTTAATACATTTTTTACTATGTAGTGACCTTTAATTAGGATCAAGAGAGACTGATAGAGGGAGTGACTTTACGTGTTATATGCTCACAGCTGGTCCAATTTCGTTTTGAGATCTCTTACCGAGAACATAACCTGCCGTGGAGTGAAAGTTACAATGCCTATGAACACCGCTGAAAGCCAAATACTTTCATTGTGCCTAAAACCCACGGTTGAAAAAAAAAAAAACCTGGCTATCTACCTACACTGCCTTCATGGTAAAGGCCTCAGATCTCGTCTAGACAGGCTTAATGAGTGTGTTGCAATCTTCAGAAACCTACGGGTGACGTCACGGATACTACGTCCATATTTTTTTACAGTCTTGCAATTCAGATGTTATGTCTCCTTAATTCTGACAGACTTTAGCCCCACCTACTGGATAAGTTTAACATTTCAGATGAAGATTAATCTTTTTCTTCTACTCTTTTAAACTTCATTTGTTATGACACACCAAAATTGTAGACAAAGATTTGTAGACAAAGTACAGGTTTATTAGCATTGTTTACATGCTACAGTTCAAACTTGAAACCCCTAAGATATGTGATAACACAAAGCATGATAGACAGAAAAAAAGAATGAAGGATTATTATTCAAGATAAATAAGGTTGGAACATATGTGATTAGTGTAATAAATTATTTAATTATCTAATTTTATCATATTCTCAGTCATTTTTTCATCATATGTATATATGCTCGTTTATTATTATGTGAGAGAGTAAGTTCAAGGGTGAGAAAATATAAAGGTTCCCTTTCTGCGACATTCTTCTCTTTATCAGTTTCTACATCTTCAACAAGGTAACCATTTGAAGTTCCTTCCATGTATTACGGTGTCTTTTTAACTTTTCTTAACTTCATCTCAAAGGAACTTGACACTCCACGATTGACCAGCTCTTGTTTTATCTGAAACAAAGATGGACAGATAGATCAAAATGTATTTCCATTGTAGGCTACTAGTTAATAAAGTCACCAATGTCAGATTTAAAGTCAGAAATATAAGATAAGAGTCAGGTTTTTTTTTTTCTCTGAGGCAGAAATGTGCTTTTGTGTGAAAAGTGTGACTTACTTGCTGCAAAACAAACTCAGCGTTTCCAGGCTGTGTCAGGTCTAAAAATGAACTAAGTTTCAATTGAAGTCCTATGACATTTTCTAAAAGGAAACACACATAATAAGGCATAATAACAAACACACACAAATATACAGTATATATATATATATATATATATATATATATATATATATATATATAGCCTATATAGACCGATAATCCACGATAAGGCCAAATCACACTTGTGTGACATATTGCTACTTGTGTGACAATGCGTTCATACAACAGTTCGACTAGACGTGTGTAAATAAATAAGAAACAACAACAGAGTGTCTTTAAAAACACTCTTTTGTGCGGAACAACTTCCTTCCGTCATCATGGATTTAAATCTCAAGTTGAAAGTTGAGCCCAAGCCTCCCTTGCTAATTCTAAAACGTCACTTTATAACAAGTAACGAAGGAACGCTTAGTTGCTTAATTGAAGCTTATTGAATTATGTATAGTAGGCCTAGAGTATCATGAGAGAGAAAGATTGACTAAGCCAGTGCATTACCTGCATCTAGCTGATATTCTTCTGGCCAATCTCACAAAATCAGTTTGAATGTCCGCTGAGACTTTGTCCTTTCAACAGTTAAGGGGATTTCCCATGACAGCTCTAGTCAGTGCATTTGTAAATTGAGTCTTATTGCTTACAAACTTCTTTCAGTCCCTTTCAATGTAAAAGTATTTGCTAATGACTCACTCATAAAGACAGTCTAATGGTGTAATAATGTAACTTTCACTGAAGTCGAAATCACAATCACTAAAACCCTTTCTCAATATCAAATACGAAAAAAAAAAATTAATTTAAACAATATTAGAAATGATAAAAGTATAAGAAGTTTGTAGAATAGAAAATAAACAACCAAACAGTTCAGTCAAAATGCAAAAGCATTTACATCATTTTGATGAAACTCCTACCTGTTCCGTTGTTCACAAGAAAGGCCCAACGACCCGGAACATTTACGTTACTCGTGTTCTTGAGGTTTGGGATGTTGCCATTAGAATCATAATGAATTACATGGTAGTCAGTGGAGTTTATTGTGTCATATCCAGCCTATTAAAACCATGAAAAATCAATGTTATGCAAGATACAGAGCCACTATAAAATATTATTTCAATCCTTTGATGTTTGTTTTACCTCCACTGGAAAATATGAACCAGCACAGTCACCATAATTCATCAGAATGAAAGAAAAATCACCTCCTGAAATTAAAACCAATTGAAAGGTGATTGCCTGAAAAAAAAAAAAAAAAAAAATCATGATTCATAGTCTACACAGTCTGTGAAAAGCAAATCTCTCCCGTGAACTACCAAAATACAGACAGCACGTTACATGTCCTACAATAGACAGTAATATACTGGATCACTGTTACACCACAATAAAGAATGCGTATCACTCCGTCCCACGAGCAGCTTTAGGGCTCTCTGATCACTGCTTGGTTCATCTTATACCGACCTACAGGCAGATCAGCTAAACCTGTAATAATGCCTGTAAAAAGATGGACTAATGAAGCAGAGCAGGATCTACAGGCATGCTTCGATTGCACTGATTGGACTGTTTTTGAAGCTGCTACCACCGATCTGGATGAGCTCACAGATACTGTAACATCATACAGAAGTTTCTGAGGATACATGCATTCCTACCAGGACACTCTTATCATTCAATAATGATAAACCATGGTTTACTGGGAAACTCAAACACCTTCGAGGATGCCAAAGAGGATGCTTACAGAAGTGGGGATAAAATCTTGTATAACCAGGCCAGAAACAGACTGACAAAGGAGATCAGAGTTGCTAAAAGAGGCTACTCTGAAAAGCTGAAAAATCAGTTTTCAGCCAAAGACCCGGCATCAGTCTGCAAGGCCTGAGGAACATCACCAACTACAAGTCACCCCCCCCCCCCCCACCCCCGATCGGTGGACAATCAACACCTGGCTGATGATTTAAACGCATTTTATTGCAGGTTTGAAAAGCCACCTTTCTCACCACACACCCGCTCTGATCTGCACTTCACACATCCACCATCACCTCCTGCACTCCCCCTCCCCCCTCCTGCCAACCAACCTGAGCTTAAGGTCTGTGTGGAGGACATGAGCAGAGTCTTCAAAAAACAGAAGACTAGGAAAGCCCCAGGCCCAGACGGCATCTCATCTGCCTGTTTAAAAGCCTGCGCTGACCAACTGGCCCCGGTCTTCACCTAGATCTTCAACAGATCATTGGAGCAGTGTGAAGTTCCCTGCTGCTTCAAACGCTCTACTATCATTCCTGCCCCCCCCCCCCCCCCCCCCCCAAAAAAAAAATCACTGGACTTAATGACTACAGACCTGTCACTCTCACATCTGTGGTCATGAAGTCGTTTGAAAGACTGGTGTTGGCCTACCTGAAGGACATCACTGGACCCCTGCTAGATCCCTTTCAGTTTGCTTACAGAGCAAACAGGTCTGTGGATGATGCAGTCAACATGGGACTGCATTATATCCTGCAACATCTCGACAGACCTGGGACTTATGCAAGGATCCTCTTTGTGGACTTCAGTTCGGCCTTCAATACCATCATGCCTGATCTTCTCACAGCCAAACTGACCCAGCTCTCCATGCCATCCTCGATCTGTCAGTGGATCTCCAGCTTCCTGACGGACCGGCAGCAGCGAGTGAGACTGGGGAAACTCACATCCAGGACTCTCACCACCAGCACTGGCGGCCCCCAAGGGTGCGTTCTCTCCCCACTGCTCTTCTCCCTGTACACTAATGACTGCACTTCTAAAGACCCGACTGTCAAGCTCCTGAAATTTGCCGACGACACCACTGTCATCGGTCTTATCCGAAACGGTGACGAGTCTGCTTACAGACTGGAGGTTGAACGGCTGGCTGTCTGGTGCAGTTATAACAACCTTGAGCTGAACACGCTCAAAACAGTGGAGATGATAGTGGACTTCAGGAGGAACAGCCCAGCACTCCCCCACTCACCATCATGAACAGCACTGTGGAAGCAGTGGAGTCATTCAGGTTCCTGGGCACTACCATCTCTCAAGACCTGAAGTGGGATAATCACATTGACTCCATTGTGAAAAAGGCCCATCAGAGACTTTATTTCCTTCGCCAGCTGAGGAAGTTCAACCTGCCACAGGAGCTGCTGATTCAGTTCTACTCAGCCGTCATTGAGTCTGTTCTATGCACATCCATCACTGTCTGGTTTGGTTCTGCTACCAAATCAGACATCAGGAGACTGCAACGGACAGTCCGGACTGCGGAGAGGATTATTGGTGCCCCCCTGCCAACCCTCCAGGACCTGTGCCCGGTTGCATAAAGCACCTTAAGTTTTTCCCTTAAGTATGATACTTAAGGGGCGATTTACCCTTACCTAAGAGAACAACTTAAGGGTGTTGCATATAATCTCTTAAACGGTTCTCTTAGGTAAGGGAAACATTTAAGTGTTTCACGACAGCGATCCTGGATTCACGTTATAAAAGTCTGTTGTT